GGCTATGCAGAGATGACAGGCTGTGCTCCCACTGCCAGCAGGGAGAAATAGAGACAGAGGTGCACTTCCTACTGCACTGTGACAAATATTCTGGGATTATAGAAACATTCTTTCCCAGATTTACACATCTAATCTCAGAATTTCACACCTGCCAGAATCAGGGTGCCGTGGTCCTGGGTAGAGAGCCGTCTAAAAGTGAAAAGCGACATAACATTACAGCAGCAGCATTTAAGGTGGAATGAAAAATGTGAATAAGAATACACATTAGATGTGTACCTCAAGCTCTTTATTGCAAAACAGTAAATTTAGTAGTCTGGTATGTGTTCTGTCTTGATGGCAGGTTCAGCAGCCAGATGAGACCTGAAACACAAGACGGAGAGGTAAGACATTGATTTCAACAGAGAGCTTTCACACTATATTACTGACAAGAGGAGGGAATAAGAGATCATCTGAACATCTGACTGAACATTAATGATAATATATGACTCTGTATGAAGTTCTGGTAACACTAGTTACAGTTGAATGTAAAACGGTGCACAGTAGTGTTTATTTGAGCTGTAAATGATGGTTTGTATCATTCTGACCATTGTTGATAATTTCTGACTCTGCATGAAGTTCTGGTAACACTAGTTACAGTTGGATGTAAGACGGTGCACAGTAATGTTTATTTGAGCTGAAAATGATGTTTGTATTACTCTTAACATTTTTTATCATTTCTGACTCTGCATGATACACTGCCAAGCTATACTCTCATCCTTAGCTCACATGTTAACTCAGTGAAAACCCACATTTAGTGTTTTACACTCAGTACTTGGGTTATATAGTAGGGAATGGACAAGTGGGATCCCAGGTTGATAAAGTGAGGGTATTCCAAGAAAGGCCAGTACCAAAAAACATACAGGATATTTATCCCCCTATTTGCGGAGAGAGCAGCTCCTCTGATGGATATGACTCTGCACTCTGCCCCCAAAGTAGCACACTGGAGAACAGAATCTGTTAAGGCCTTTGCAGACCTGAAGGGTGCCCTCTGCCAGGATTTGATTTTAAAGGTGTCTGAATTTAATAAGCATTTCTTCCTACAAGCTGACACACCTGAGTGGGGACTTGGTGCCATTCTGTCTCAGGTGATTGATGACATTGATAATCTTGACCTCTACCTGAGTCACAAGCTCCTGAACCAAACTATGCAGTTGTAGAGAAGGAATGTCTAGTCATAAAATGGGCCTTCATTACCACCTGCTCAGTAGAGAGTACACCCTGGTGACATACCATGCCCCTATGATCTGAATTAAAAGTAATAGAGATAAGAATACCCCGGTAACCCACTGGTCTCTTGTCCCCCAGTATAGCTAGCTTTGAGAGGGATGCTTTTGGTACTTCCTGTTGGAGCTCTTCCTTTACAGGTGCATTGTGGAAACCATGTGACGTGCAGCATATTTCGGTGAATAATAAATAAGAAGGGTTTAACAAAAACAGTTGGTTATATTAACACTGCACAACATCCAATCATAATCTGCAGCAAATAATGCTTACTTATAGTACATAATCACACGGGCCAATACTGAATAGATATTATACAGGACATAAAGGTAGCAGCTCTGTGATAAACAATGGATCCTCATTCCATAAATGTTACCTCATTTCAGGATTCAGTGGTTTAAAAGCTCCAAGAGGTTTGGAACTTAATGGAATTGTAATTTGTGCAATACGGCCAGGCATTACCTAATATAAGTATAGATAATATAAGTACCTATATGATAATTTATACTTGATATCCACTGGACCAATCTACTGTAAATGAGACACACTATACACATTTGGAAACTATGCCCAGCACATACATTGAGAATTGATGGTGATTCATTCAGTGGTAGGGGGGTGGAGAGAAAGTTAAGTAGACATTACTAGTAAAACATTAGCATATCTGTGTAACATTGTACGTGAAACATATATATGTACAGTATATATTTGAGTAATTAGGTACTCATAGGCCTATATAAACTTCTGACAGCCACAAATGGTTAAATTAAAACATTTAGCAAATACTTAAAATATTACAGTTCCATTTTTTTCCTGTTTGTGGGAACTCTCAGAGCCATGTTGAGCGCAACTAAATATATTTGCCTAATAAAATGTATAAATCATACCAATACTACTAAGTAAAAACTGTTTTCCTTATGAATATACTGTACAAATTTGCACCAACAAATAGACTATATGGGTCAAATGGACTTCTTTTGTTTAGAGTGTATGGACTTGTAGTATGTTTAATAGCACAACTAATAACATTGTTTCCTTCAACAGGAACACAGCTATGAAATTGTCAGCTTTGTGAAGTTGGCACACCTACAAACAACACAAATGATAAAAGTCATCACATTTGTTAGTGTTGCATTTTTGCCAGTTTGTTCTGTTGAAAGTAGCGTTATTGAAGCTTTAATTTCCGATATATAGTGCCTTATTTTTGGGGGGGGCATGACATCACTCATCCTACAACGGCACAGGAGAACCAATTCTGATTCATTAGTGCTGTGCTTGTGCCAGTTTGTGCCATTGAACATAGCTTCTCAACTGCTTTGGATATAGCTCTTTATTTTTGGGGGTGTGTGATGTCACCCAGCCCACCTACAATGGTGCAGGAGAACCAAACAGGAGTGAGTAAGTGCTGTGCTTGTGCTGGTTTGTGTCATTGAAAGTAGCATCTGTGCTGCTTTCATTTCCGAGATATAGTGCTTTGTTTTTTTGGAGACATGATGTCAATCAGACCATGGCAGGAGAACTGAACCAGTCTCATTTATTAGTGCTCCATTTGTGCGTTTTGTATCGTTAATGTCACGTACAGTTCTTTCCAGGCCCTATGCAGACGACACGATCCGGTTGGTGAAGACACAGCAGGAATAAAGTCATGCAGGAGAAGGGATGGAGACAAGGGGGCGTGTCCAAGGAGTGCAGGTGTCTAGGGGAAGTGAGTCCGGGGCAAACAATCCATATAGGAAATCCAAACAGGTAATCAGGAACAAAGGAAGAAGTCCATGGCCAGGTGATCCATCCAGGGGCGGAGGTGGGAGGGGGATAGGAACCGGCGAGGGGAATCAGGAACAGAAAGTTATGAGCATGAGCATGAGCATGAGCATGAGCATGAGCATGAGCATGAGCATGAGCATGAGCATGAGCATGAGCATGAGCATTCAGTGTCCTTCTGTGAGCTGAATGAGGCGGACACGGCAGAACCCCAGGCTCTCACAAAGCGGAATTCAATGAGGAACGCGAAGTGAAGTCTGCGCCTGGCTTTTAAGGGTGAGAGGGAATTGGGAACAGGTGCAGACAATGGGAGAAAACAAGGAAGGCCTGGAGCGCCCTTAAGAGGAGGGGTTAGCGATCGTGACAGTTGAAAGTAGCTTCCTGAGACACAATGACATATTTTTTGAGTAATCACGTGACCATGGATGGCAACTTTGACTACTAGTAACCCTGTCTGGGAAATTCAAACACTCTATTACTGAATAAACAGCAGCATACATGTTACTTTTAATGGAACAAACCAGCACAAATGGAATACTAATGAATGCAGTGGGTTTTGTTGTTTGTGAGACAGTCAATTTCCAGTGTTGTTTTGCAGTTGTGTTATGAACTAACTAGGACAACTTAGTACATGGTCCCTTTTAAAGATTTGCATACATGTATTTATTTCAAACAGACACAATGAGAAATCTTCAGATTTAAAAAATATTAACATGGATACGAAGTATTAAGATGTGCTGGTTAAAGTATTTTCAAAGAAAATGCAATTGGTTGCTAATGTTTGCTTTTTAAGGCTAAACCCACAACTCTTGTAATTAGAGTGTGATATTGGAGACAATTGTAATTTTCCTGCTCACAGAAACACACAGAAAATGGTTAGCAATGAGGCTTTCTGGGTTCTCTCTCAGCATTTTGTACTGGTTTGATTAACTGGGCTGATCAGTCTTGGCTTCCCCAGCATACTGGATTACTCTCTAATTAAAAGGGCAATAAAACTATCAGTGAGCCTTCAGCAGTAGTCTCCAGCCTGTTATTCCCCACATATTCACAGAGCACTGGATCCACCACAGTGCTTTGCAGCTGACAGCATGGTTAGAAATGTTTTAAATATAAATGTGGACAGAAACAGTCTGTGTTGTTTTCTTATGACAATAGATTTGTTTTCATTTTAGTTACTGACAAGGGATATATGCTAGTCTTGATGTGTAATTATGAGCATGTATAATCTAGAAATTGAAACTCATGACTATCTTAATCACATGTTGTTCCAGGTTCAATTAATGTCCATTGCTTGTTCTTTCCAGTATTAGATCCTGACTATGCTAGGTTATTTTAAGTTATTAGAAACACCTGAGGCCAGTGCAACAGTGCAAACTGTTTGCATCAGTACAGAGATCTTTTTTTATTGCATGAAGCCTGTAATCAAGAATACATTTGTGGAGCAAAGTTATATATACAGTATTGATCTGTTTGTCCTGTTTTTAAATATTCCAAAGGAGGAATTGCCAATACAGTGGACATTTAATGATGATTCAAATACATTGTCATGTTACAGTGATCATCATTATGATAAGAGTACATTGTAATACTCAAATCTACTTTGTCTTTAATGCTGCAGAGATAAAATGAAAAATCTTAATCACATAATATCAAAGCATGTTCTTTAAAGGCAATATAATCTATTATAATTTGTTTACAGCAAAGACAATTCTGACTGTACCCACTGTCATGAGACCGTATGGTATGAAACTAGTGAAACACAAAGGGATTTCAATGGCATCCACTTTTCCGACTTTAATATCCATATTCACCAGATCCATGTTTGGCTCCGCAACTAGCGGTAGTTTCCCTACAAAGCTGTCCAAAACACGGCTGCACATATTGTGACGTCATGCGCAAACTGGTCTGCAGTCTAGCCAAGGGAAGTGTCGTGACACAGCCATCTACTTTGAAAACTTAACATCAGAACAGAGCAACGTCATGATGATGCAAGCAATTGTTGGTTACCTTCCGGGTCTGTAAGGCTCTGGACGTGCATTCATACTAAAAAAGGCGTATCCTTTTCAGCTGGCGTTTGAAAGTTTGTTTTGTATTTTAATTGTTTATGGTTTAATTTGCAGGAGGTGACAGAATTCGTTACAGAAATTTTGTAAAGAATCTGGAAGGAGAAGGACAATCACAAAGCGCCGCAGAGCTTGAGGTTGTCAGAGGAAAGTCGCCGCATCAAAATCAGGAAAAAATGGGGGACAAGGAACTGATGTGGGCCTTGAAGAATGGAGATTTGGATGTAGTGAAGGACTTTCTTGCTAAGGTAAAGGAAGATAAAACTATCTATACGGCTATATTTATCTAAAAGAGGTTCTTACCTGTTAGGGATTCCGGGAGAATATTGTGTCTAGAGACAGCTAATGGATTTAATGCTAACTGCATTTAATTGAGTTTTGGTGTTCGTATGTGGTTCGATATGAAAAACGTTAAGTGTGTAGAGGCCCAAGCGTTCTTTGTTTGAAATGCCGTTATGAATATATGTTTCTATAGTATGGTTATGTAAATCTTTTAACACAGTATAGCGTATAGGACAGGCCCGGTTGTCGCTCTGCGGATTGAATTGTGTGGTGGACGTATGCTGACGGCATTGGGGAAAAATAAAGAAAAAAGGCTAATGACATTTTATTACTATTAAAACGGTTGTTTTTTTAACGGGTTCGTTCTGTGGAAAGTTGCACTCTTCCAATTCAGTAGGATGACTTCACATTTTTCTGATCCTTGCAAAAAGCTTTGCATTATTCGTAGCTTGGCTATATGGGCCTTTGTGTAATGTTAATCCTAAAAAATAATTTTATTTGATATTGGTTAAGGTAACTTTTAAGATTTAAATTCAAAACACCGCCGAACATGACATTGTGCGGAACCTTCAATAGTCATGTATACGTATGCTTCCTAAACGTCTCTGCTTTTATTAGTCTATTAGTATGTCGGCATTAATGCTATACGAGTGCATCTGTGATTAGTGTTATAATGCCACAGTCGGTAAAAACACCTTTATATTTTGGTAAACCTTATAGTTCTTCAAAATACAAGCTATAATATTTTATCGGTTTTACTAATTCTGTTAACCCATTTTCTAACCCACCGACTAGATAAACTTGCCCACAAAATACGTCTATTGTGTGGTTATTTGGCAGCAGCGATATCAACCTCCAACCCAGTTGTAGAGGGGAGTCCCAATTACCTGTAAAGTGCTTTGAGTTGAGTGTCCAGAAAAGCGCTATATAAGTGAATGAATTATTTTTATTTAATCTCATAGTTATAACTGCCAAACATGATATGGGATAACAACTGTGCCACTGTTCTGCCATCAACATTACTGCCTCGCTGTGCAGGTATCCCGGGTTCAATTCTTGGGGTGCCATCTGCATGGAGTTTGTACAGTATGTTCTTCCCCTATTCACGTGGTTTGGTGCTCCGATTTCCTCCCACATTCCAAAGATATACCAGTATGTTAACTGGCGTCGGTAAAATTGGCCCTTGTGTGAGTGTGTGCATGTTTGTGATTGTGTGTCCCTTGCAGTGGTCTGTTGTCCTGTCCAGGGTGCATCGTGCATTGCGCCTGTTGCTTGCTGGTTTAGGCTCTGGTGTCCCTGCAACCCTGTATTGCATAAAGCAATTAGAAAATGCATTAATAGATTTATAGGTAACTGTTTCCTTAGTTATTCACATTTACTGGTTGTGAGGCACTGCTAATATAGGAAGAAAATGAGTTAGCAGGAGATTACTTTTATATCTTAGAGCAGGAAGTTTGGTTAGGTGTTTCCGCAGTTTAGTTGCAAATATAAAATGCTGCTAACAATACTGGCACCCACAAAAACCTCTGCGTAGGACAGGCAGGCCTTAATAGTATTGTATTCCTTCTCATTCCTGGAAAATTAGGAACAAAAAATCAATCGAAGGTATGGAAACGTCTCCCATTTATAAAAACAAAAGACCCTGAATTGGAGGAAGCAGTTAACAGATGGTAGGAAGTATATGTGGATTGTATTTTTTACTTAATGCATTATTCTTATATAAAACATATGGATATTCTGAGCATATATAATGCATATTTCTGTAAGAATAATGTTTTTTTCTTTAACTTTTTTTCTGTTGCTGTCGAATCATAAATTTTGCAAAGATGTTATCACAGGATTTAGCCATCAATACACATAAAAAAACCTGACACAATATTACAAAAAGAGTAAAGATGCTGTATTTAGTTGGAAATCTAAAGCAAATAAGGATTTTCCTCACATTACACTTTCAGATGTCAATGCCACTTCCACAAAGCCTTTTTCCTCTAAAGTTACCTCCTACTGTACAAGTTTTCTTTTCCATTGCAAGCAATATTTTTTAATGTATCAAATTGTCAATTAACTTCTTATTATTGAAGTTGTTACAGACATTGTGAAAGGTATTACAGTTTTTTGTCCCTTTTTTGTTTGTGGGTTATCCACATTAGTTCATTTTAGATTTT